ACAGAAGATGAAAACCGCAGAGGGAGGGTGAAAATGGTCACATAGATGCAGTTAAATGGAATCTTTCACGGGGTTCCCAGTCAATTCTGTTCCTAGATTTATTTCCTGTAAAACAAAAGTACTTCCTCGTTTCTATGTTTGCCAGACAGCTTCTCATTTCGAAAGTGACACTGCATTAGTACAGACAAGTTCTTTCCTCCTCCACTGTTTGCTTGTGTTTGACGGACTTTGTGTGATAACCTTTTTCTTCTCTCCATCTTTTTTTATTTTTATTTAATTTTATTTTGCCAAAGGCAGCACTTGTGAATGGTGCATATGTGTACCCTCATCTCTAGAGACTCTTGCCTATGCGAAAGTGGTGGCTGTATGTGTTTTAACATGTTGTTCCTGTTGTTGATGTGAATCAAAGCTCCTGCAAAACAGCTGGCACAGTCAAATGCACTGGCTTCTCTGACCGGCCTCGGTAAGTGTCTTTACATTTTGGCCCGACGGGGGGGTTGGCAATAAAAGGGGGGGATGGGGTGTTTTCAACTCTCTAATGAACTTTTATTACAACCTCGAGAGCTCAAGCAGCAGATCTTCTCAATGGTTAGCTAGCTTCCAGCAACACAGATTATAAAAAAGCATGCTTCGTTTATTATGGTGGGCTTTAGTAAAGCATTATGTAGTCGAGTGGGTGAGAACGAGGTACTGTTAGCGTGCGACTGAGTGCCATGCTCCAGCTGTCCATTATAAGAAGGGGGCTTTGTTGCCGCAGGAGGGCTGGGTGATTACGGCTCAGACGAGAGTGAGGATGAGGATCGAAGTGCGAAGGGGTCGGACTCATCGGACACAGACGATGAGGAGCTGCTGCACCGCATACGCCAGAAACAGGACGCCTTCCGTCGCAAAGAGAGGGAGCAGCAGCAGCTGCAGGAGAGGCTGGCGCTGGAGGTACAGACTGTAAAAGGTGGGTGCATCTAGAGGAAAAAAAGTGACTATTTTAATACATTTAATACTTAATACATTCAGTACTTTTTTTGTTGTCAGTTTATCAGCAGAACAGCTGAAACTATTCTGAACAAAAAATACATAAATCAATTTATAAATCAATTTTAATAATCTGTTTATATAACTAATTATTAATTTAGTTGTTCAGTTTATTAAGAAATTGCTTTTTCTATATTATTTACATTTATATGTTATACAAACCCGATTCCAAAAAAGTTGGGACACTACAAATTGGGAATAAAAACAGAATGCAATAATTTATAAATCAATTTTAATAATCTGTTTATATAACTAATTATTAATTTAGTTGTTCAGTTTATTAAGAAATTGCTTTTTCTATATTATTTACATTTATATGTTATACAAACCCGATTCCAAAAAAGTTGGGACACTACAAATTGTGAATAAAAACAGAATGCAATGATGTGGAAGTTTCAAATTTCAATATTTTATTCAGAATACAACATAGATGACATATCAACTGTTTAAACTGAGAAAATGTATCATTTTAAGGGAAAAATAAGTTGATTTTAATTTCATGGCATCAATACATCTCAAAAAAGGTGGGACAATGCCATGTTTACCACTGTGTGGCATCCCCTCTTCTTTTCCCAACTTATTGGAATTGGGTTTGTAGTTTGCATGCTAAGTTTCTATTTATAGAGTACATTTTTCTATGCTCTGAGAAATTTGCCAAAAATGTGATCCATAGACCATTAAAGGCACAATATGTAAGATTTTTTTATAAATTAATAAGTTTTAAAATATCCAAAAACCGCTAGAGCAGTTTTATATATTTTGCTGACTTATGTACTTGCATTATCCCAAATGTTTCTAAGAATGTTTAAATCCAGAGAAATAAGCAATTTTAACTAGTGACACGGAGCTGTCCATAGTGCCAATGTGTCGGCTGCCAATGATGTCATACACCCTCGATTTCCGGTTTGGTTTTGTAGAAAACATGGAAACACCAAAGATGCTTTAATATGTTGTGCATTTTATTAGACCGGTGATGACCGCACAGAGTAGCATTATAACAGAACTTTCAGAGCTTTTTTTTTCCCCACATACGCACGACCGGAAGGAGTGGAAGCGGTCGACTGTGACATAATAAAAGCTCGGCTGCTTTCGAGCCGTGTGTCGCAATCGTTCAGCGGCCTCGTTTCACTTTCGACAGCTTTCAGCCTCACCCTGCTTCATTCTACTACGTTAACAAATCATTAGCTCATCCATGAACGTGATTTCTGCCCGAGTCCCGTCAGATTGTATCAGCTGTGGGGATGAAGACGACAACTCCCATGATTCCACACTCCGTCACGGCGTCATCAAACTACGCCTTTGCTTCTTTGTTTATTTTGAATATGCACCCTCTAGCGGCGAAAATGACATATTGTGCCTTTAAGTTTAAAATTGTATTTTATTTATATTCTTTTTAAGTTCTATATTGTTTGTTTGTTTTTTGGTATTAGTTGCAAAAGGAATATAAATTGTCTTGTAAAATTTGTGTGTTTTCAGAAGATTTGGCATCGGGCAGAGAGAGGGCAGGTTATGAGGAGGAGCAGACAGAGTCTAAACACAAACAGGAAGTTAGGGAAAGGGAGGCGGAGCCTACATTAGAGCGACGCAGGTCACGTAGTGAGCCTGAGGTCAGTGAGGTCAAGCGGGCCAGCAAAGAGCACACGGGGCGTAATGGAGGAAGTGCCAGCCCCTCCCCGCCAAGTGAACGACGTAGCCCCAGCTCCAGCTCCAGCTCTTCCAGCAGCCGGTCCTCTTCATCCTCCTCATCCTCAGCCTCCTCTCGCAGCTCCTCCCGCTCCTCATCTCCCAGAAGGAAAAGGCGACGCAGCAGCTCCGCCTCTCGTGGGACTCGCAGGCGCAGCCGAAGTCGCAGCACTCGCAGACGTCAGTCAGAGCGCGACAAGGGCAGAGACAGGAGGCGGAGCAGCCGCGCACGCAGCACCGACCGGTCCTCTCGTCACAGCCACTCGCGGCAGCGCAGGTCCAGCAGGGGCCGCAGGAGCAGGTCCAAGGCCAGTCGCAGCCGCAGTAGAGAGAGGCGTCGCAGCAGGGACCGCAGCAGAAGTCGCAGTACGAGCCGCAGCAGGAGGAAACAGAAGGCCTCCAGCAAGGACAGAGACCGGAGGAAAGAGAGGAGCCGGAGCCACGAAAAGGATAAGAAGAAAGAGAAAGATTTAGATAAAAAGAAAGTCAAACAGAAGGGCAAGGAGAAAGAGGGTGAGGGCAGTTCAGTAAGGGATGAGGAAGACAATGCCAAATCGAGGCGGAAAAAGGAGAGCGAGAGGACAGACTCTCACAGTGAGAGGTTTTCCCGGCAAGACAGTAAATCTAGCAAAAAAGGCTCCGCCAAAGCTAGCAAGAAGTACTCGGATTCAGAGTCCAGCAGGAGCAGGTCCCCTTCCCCTGAGGTTAGCAAAGAAAAAAAGTCTAAGAAATCAAAACGTAGTCGATCAAGGTAAACGGAAAGGTCTCACAAGTCTGGTAAGAAGGCAAGCAGCAAACACAAGTCTAAGTCGCGATCAAGGTAGTGTCCATTTTCTTTCTACTTTTTTTATTGTTGAAGTGTTTTAATTGTTTGTGTGTGAATGATCAATAGTATTTAGAATATCACAACTGTTGCAATCCAAATGATCCTGAAGTAGATTAAGTTAACGTGTTAAATTTAAATTCGCAGTCACAATGTTGAATGTGTAAAAGCTGAATTGTGCACAAATGGTTGGACTTCCTAAGTGCTACTGAGATTGATATAATTTCCTCCTTTTCTCATTCAGTGTTGATCCAACAGCAGTTTAAGGTGTGTGTATGAAGTTCTGGATGTGATCTCTACTAGTGATTGCACTAATAGTCTGTCTAACGTTTCTCTTGCAGGTCAGCATCTCCCAGCCGCCGCAAGCGTTGAGGGGCGTTCTACCTCTGATCTGTGCACCACTTTTAAAATTCCACGAGTTAACAGGCTTGTCTCATTATCGAGGCAACGTTGTAGGTGAACTCCACTCCAAACCCCCTCACTCCATCATTTTGTAAATATATGGTATTTTTAAGTGTTGTCTTCAAAACAGGAGATTTTGAATGATAGTTTCTTTTTTTGCCTTGTTATGCAAGACTAAGCATTCAAGTAGTCAGTAGAAGCTTGAAACTGTAACATTTTAAAACTTAACACCAGAGGAAATTAATTCTCATTTCATGTAAATTGTCAAATAAAACAAGAATGATTCTTTCTGTCTGACATTGCCTGCCTCTTTTGTTTTAAAATCTTGCTGCTTGAAATGTCTGAGTGAAGATAAGATGTATATGGAAAAAAGTACAATAAATTATGGGCATGATTATAATATCTCTATCTTTTTTATTAAACTACATTCATAGTTGTCTTTACACAAAAATGACCATTTTGATCATTTACTCGTGTTGTTCCAAAGAAACATCCTGAGAAATATCCTTCCACTATTTTCAATATAATAAAAGCGAATGAGACAATGGACGTCAAACGCCACAATGACCAAAAGAACACCCTAAAGACATCTTGTGCACTATATAACTATACTATATTGTATTATTATTACACCGACACCTTAATGTATGAAATATCACGTTTAAGTTATTATTAAGAGCTGTTAACCGTTGCGACCGAATCGATTTGCTCAGACTCAACAGTTTGATTCGTGATCGAATTACTCGGGACTAGTTTTGTAAACTGAATTATTCTTCACAGCAGAAATTAAGTCATACAGGTTTGAAATGGCACGAGGGTGTTTTAAATGAACTCGGCTTTAACTGAGACTTAAAGTAAGATTCGTACTATTTATTTTTCTTGCTTGAGAAATGCATAGAGAGCAGGGAATATTAAGGGGTTTTGAGATCAAGCACACTTTGTATATGCAGATTTATGGTTTAATTTAAAACGTATTCCCCCTTTTCAGATTATTGTTTTAAAAGTTAATTAGCTGAAAAGAGCAGTAAAAAGTAAATGTATTTGTCATGCTGTTATATAGGATAGGAACGTTTGTTTCCATACTGAGTTTCTGCTCGGTCAGAAGTTCTGCGAACACGCCACGGTCACATTGGATTTACTGACTGAAGTCAGTGATAATATAAGATACGTGTGACGCAATAAAATGCAGTTATGTACTCCAAGAAATTAGCACGATTAGCTTTTGGGCTGCTAGCAGAATCTACGTTTAAATGCCCGTTAACCCGAAGCGTGTCCTCAGTGCGGACTCTGTGCAGCTGGACGGTGTGTCTGCATCACAGACAGAAGAATCCGCTGTCAGAAGGGTGAGAATGATTTATCGATTTATCAACAGTGCATGCAATTAAATTCATGTTTTTATACTTAATAGGCCAGTGTTGCAGTCTACTCGTTTCTTGGGTTTTTGTTTACTAGAGAATCATAACGACACATGGTTAAAAGATTTGAACGATAGTTTCTCCCGCAGACTGACCCGTCTAAATGTCCGCACGGTATCCCAGACTACTCTCGACCCCGCCGAAGTGCGGAAGTTTCAGGCCATGGCGAGCAAGTGGTGGGACTTACAGGGAGAGTTTGCTGCCCTGCACTCCATGAATGACCTGAGAGTGCCTTTCATACGGTGTGTAACTTCCATCTACCCTCTATTTTACTGATAAAAGTGCCATGGTATCACTATAGTATTTTTTAACATCAATAATATTTTCACTTATTTTTATGGATGTATCTCCATTTTTCTTCACCTTTTTTGCCTTTACTAGATCGTTTGAAAAGGTCTTAGTTTCCACGTGACATTCATTTTTAAAAGTACTGCTAGTAAATGTGATGGCATAAGTGTTGTATACATAATAGCTTAATTTGAACATTTATGAATGAACAAAATACTGTTTTACTTAGGGATGAACAATGTCAGTTTTTAGCCAAATATTACAATCTTTTGATTTATTGGTTGATTACATATTTAACTGTGCATTCTCTAAAATGTAATCACACAATCTGAAAAGTTTTGTCTTTCATTGCAAATTGATTATATATATATTAGCTATTTTGGCTATAGCATAATAATTGTTCGTTCTGCCTAGATATTTAATATTGGTGCATCCTAGAATAATGCTGTATGGAGTATAGCATGTCACACATACAACTTTCTAAAAGTATTTAATGTTTTGGGTTGGTAATCATTTTAAAATGTTTTTGAGAGATTATGCTCAGTAAAGCTGCATTTAATTGATCAAAATTACATTGGGAAATTTAAATAAAACTGGGAAATATTATTACAGTTTAAACTAATTGTTTTCCATTTTTATGTATTTGTGTATTAGTGTAATGTATTCCTATGATTGTAGAGCTGAATTTTGATGCATATTTCTCCCCAGGATTCTTTGATGAATAGAAAGTTTGAAAGAACAGCATTTATTTGAAACAGACTTTTGATCAATTTAATCCATCCTTCTTCGAATACAATTTTTAATTAATTTCTTTGAAAATGTCTTCATGATGATAATCTTATCTGATCAGATTCTTCTCTCAGCAGCCGTTTCCATGAGAGTCAGGATGGATATTGTGTGATTGTCATTGTAAGCCTTTCCCCTCGCCTCCTGGAATCATTCAGCGCACAATTTCTTCCCCTTCCCTGAACACGGGATCAGTTGTAGTATACAGCATATGTGGCAATGCCCTGGGGGCTTGTTTAAATGAGGGACCTCTGTGCTGTTGCTGGTTATTATGTTGTACTTGAGGAATGTGTGTTTTCTAGACGTTGGGGTTTGTTGGCAGAGATGGGCTGAGTTAACAGGACTGGCAGTGAGCACCTTAGGCGGCTTTGGTCTGCATGGTCTGTCCAAGCTTTTGAGGAAGAATGTGAGGATGTTGCCTTTGAGTTCAGCGAGACGAGCATTGAGGATGTATGATTGCTTCAGGATGTCAGAGGCATGTGTCTAGCCAGAGGGACTTAGCAGTAAGACGTGCTTGTGACTCGAGCACATTGTGGAATTGCATGCTGTCATTAGCTTCGGATTTTCTGTTTCACGTCAGTCTGATGTACATCATTTCAAAATTCTGCATGACTAGAGGTGATATGTTTTCTAGCCTAGTGCCTTCTTAACCTCATTTTGTGACCTTTGACTCCATTTTCAGGGATAATTTGTTGAATGTGCATGGCATCCTGCAATTGGGCAAACCTCTGGCTGGACTGAGAATTCTGGATGTTGGCTGTGGTGGAGGCGTGCTGAGTGAGGTAACTTCTGTTAATTATGAAAATGATTCTGTAATGACGGATAAGTATTGAGCTAGTTGCACTAGTTAGTGCAAGTAAAGTTTTTCAGTTTACTGTAAGATATTCCATAATTTGAGAGATCTGGTCTGGGTGTGGTAGCAATAAAAAGCTGGTCTCATGTTTGTTAGGTTTGATAGTATGCATGATTATTTTTAGCTGATAGCATGATTATTTATAGCTGGCCACAAATGATAACTGAAAACTTACCAACTGAACTACACGATTAAAACAGACAGCTTCACGCCCAGTGGTTTCCTCCACTGAGATAAACACACTTTCTCCAGGCCGTCTCTCTGCCTGATATGTCATTGTTGTGTTTTGGTGAGCATGATGTCTCTTGAGTGTTCTGTCATGCAAAAGCTTATGTCAGAAGATCCCCTTTAGCACACATCAGTGGAACAGTTTACTGCAGCTCTATTACTGAATTTCTGCCCTGAATGACCAGCAGAGGGCGATGTGCAGATTTTGTTGTTGTTGTGCTACTGTGTTTTTACACCTAAAGAAATTTTACATAGAAACTGAACAGCTACATTTTTACTAATATCCTAATTTTCTTTTCCGTTAAAATATATTTACCATGCAAATCTACTGCAAAATCAACAATGAAAAATTGATAGTTTCTGTCCTGTGGGTCAGTGTTATTTTAGTATTATTTATATGCTATTATAGTATTTATTTACATATTTTATATAATGTTTCATATATTATTTACATTTTATATTGGCTTTATTTTTATATTTTTAAGTAATTTTGTTATCTGTTTTTGTCGTTTTTATTATTATTATTATTTAAATATTTCTGTTCATCTTACATTTTTATCTGAGTTATTTTAGTACTTTAAATGAAATGTGTTTCAGTACATTTGCCTAGTCAGCATTTCAATTTAGGTTGAAGTTTTTCATTTAATATTAATATTTTATTTTGTCAGTTTTCTTTCAGTTATTAAAAATAAGTTTAAGGTTTAGTTTAAGCTGTGGATGCTGCCAAACATGGGTATCAAAAATCAAAGTAGCACTAACCTTTCTCAGCCACTAGGGAGGTTAGGAGCAGACGTCCGGGGAATCGACCCAGTGGAGGACAGTGTGCGGACCGCAGAGCTGCACTCCTCCTATGATCCAGATTTATGGGAGAGAGTTCGCTATCAGGCCTGCACCCTGGAAGAGCTTGCCGAAGAGGAATTAGAGGGATTTCATGCTGTAGTGGCATCTGAGGTGGTGGAACATCTGGCTGACCTGGACGCCTTTGCCAGCTGTTGCCAGCAGGTGTTGAAGGTGTGTCCCAACATCGCTGACATCTGAAACAATGACAATAGCACAAAAGTAACAGTGGGACTCACAGCAAAAAGAACTGAATGCACTGATTTAATCTCCTAGGTCAGTGTGTCAGAGGACAAGAAGAGTTACTCCAAATCCCCATAATCTCTCCTAATGCTTTGACATCCAGGCACTCTCATTAGCCTGTTTCTGTTTTGCTTTCTTTTCTTTTCATTTCTTTTTAGATGGTTTATTAGTTAGAATGTATAAAAAAAACACTGAATAATTTAAATTTTTATAAAATAAATATAAAATGATATTAAAATATATCTCAAAATAAGAAAAAATATTACTATCTTAATGTATCAAATATTTGTAATTTTACATAATATAAATATTAACATATATTTATTATACACATTTTTAAGATGTTATTTTATTTTAAATATTATAACATTTAATTCAAGGAGGGAACCCTTAAAGGACTACAGTGTACATACAATTCTATTAAATATCAAAGTGTTAAAATACTAATGTCTTCATGTATAACATGCAATTAAAATTTGTAATATTTTTATGTAATGTATGTAATTCTTTTTTTTCAGCCTGGTGGCTCTCTTTTCATCACCACTATTAACAAAACCAACTTGTCCTACGTTTTCGGGATTGTGGCAGCAGAGCAGCTGTTAAGGATTGTTCCGAGTGGCACTCATGACTGGGAGAAGTTCATAAGCCCAGAGGATCTGGAACGACTTCTGGAGTCTTGTGAGTGTCGTCTCTGACTTCCATTTCTCTCTTACTATCATTCATTGATCAGTTTCTGGGTATTACCCCTCCTCTGTTATGGATCTCCTTTGCTGTTTTAATAACAGCTGTTGTTGGAAAAGCCTGGTATACATTACATAATTGTTCAGTATGATCTATTGTTCCACTGCTACAGTGTTTATTGTTCAGCAGAATTTGTTACTAGCTTTTACCATTTTCCTGTCTCACTGTATCCCAGTTGGTTTCTACGTGGAGGCGATCAGAGGCATGATGTACAATCCTCTCACAGGAGCGTGGAGCTGGCAGCAGAGCACGGCCATCAACTATGCATTGCATGCAATTAAACGCAAAGAAGAACCCCAGCCCGGACAGGTCTGGGCTGAGAGTGAGAATCTGGATGAACCAGGTCGAGCTACAAATTACAGTTGAGCTATTATAATATTGAAACTCCACCTGATTCAGAACAGAGAAAAAACACACTCAATATCTCAATACATGTTGCATAGTGAAGACTTGCTGAACCAGTAATAATCATTCTTTGCATTGTATTCCTTAATAAAACTTTTTTTTTCGGAGGCATGATACATAGGACATATTTTGTAAAGTTCTTGTTAATTTGAGAAGCACTTTTGATCCACTCAGCATGCCGCAGCCACATGCCACTTCAAAGATTAATTTACTTGCATGTTTTGTGGTGTTGGTTGGTTCATGTCAGAGGTCAAACAGACAAAGAGAATTATATAATGATTTTTGACTTGGCGCTTAAGACGTTGTAAGTATTTAATAAAATAAAAACAATTGTGTCAACTGAGAGGGTGTTTTATTCAGGCTGAACAGTTCTCTGTTTTTGAGTACATCCTTAGTCACAACAATCAAGCGCTAGTCTGTTGTCATGCTAACTTCCAAATATAATTGGAAAAATAATAAAATAGCAAGAAGTGTGTGTATATATATATATATATCAAATTCTTGTCTTTACAATAACTCAGATTTCATAATGAAACTTAAGGGTAAATTAATATGTACACACACACACATATTATATACACACATTTATTTCTATTTCTTACTGAAAACTAATATGTCCTTCAAATGATGTTTACATCTGCGTCTGTAGTTTTAGTGAAAAGCGTAGATGAACTCGCTTCCATGCGTCGTGACGTCACTCAGCTCCAGCACAGCAACAAAGGAGGATGCGGAGCTGCGTGCGGGAGCCAAATCCCGGTAAAATGCTCTTCTTTTGCTTTACGAGACCGACGTAACACATAACCATGTAACGGTTGTCCGTATTTATATGGATAAATGAAGTGGCGCAGGATTCGTTGGAGGAAGCGGGGGGAGAGAGAGAATGTACTGGGTCGCTGGTTTCGCCTCCTCCCGGTCGTTCGTGGTTGATCTTGGCCGGAATCAGAGCCCGTGCTTCGGGTTGTGTGGCTCCGATGAGCGTCACTTATTTTATGGGTACATAGTAGCCGTCCCTGCGCAGGATATCGGCGGGATCATGTCGGGATTGGTATCGGATTCCTGGTGGAGGAAGACGCTTTACATCACCGGAGGTGCCCTTCTGGCTGCGGCTGCGTATCTGCTGCACGAGCTGCTCTCCATCAGGTCAGTGCTGTGGCCTGTTGTGAAGCCAGATGATATAATGAAATGACCTATTGTCATTGTTCATAATATTTCATCACACATGCATTATACATTTGAGCCTGTCTAGGGGAAGATGTAAATATAGGTCCGCTTGACAGTACCAGTGCCAGTGAGGTTCTTGTGTTTTCCTTGAGCTCGCGTGTCCGCTAGGCTGCATCAAGTCACGTTTTCTAAATTACATGCACATGCGGTGTGTGGCCGCACGGGAGCATATGAAAACGCCCTGTCATCAAAACTCAGCTGGAATTTGCCTTGTTTACATTCGCACAGAAGTACTTCAATGCATTCGTTTTTAATGTAGGCTTATAAATGCGGCACGTGATCATGAATGTTTACTGGATGGCGATGTACATGAGTGTGTCGAACGAGCGACCTTTCTTGGCTCATCTGCAGGCCATTACCTACTAAAAAATCAAGGGGGGCTGCAAAGCTGTTAGAAGTCTTAAATAACTTCTATTTGTTTTGACCTGTAGACTGTTTTACAGGCAGCAGACGCTCTCATCCTCGTTTAACACTTCACTGGGTGGATTTCAGCACCATACGCCGTGGACAGCGTCATGTTTGAGTATTGAGCTCTGCAGCTTTGGGGTCAAACTGATGCTTTACACTTTTTTTATCTATTTAGTTTGCCATAAAATGGCAATAAGTCTTTGTTAAACACAAATGTGTGCCATTAGATAAAGATTAAAAATAAATAAACGTTGTTAGGGTGTCAGAATGTTCATTTGAAATCTGGGTGAGTGGAGTGGTTATAGATCTGAATGGCCTTTTTTATGTTAATTGTGAAAATAGGTTCTGGAGTTTTGGCTTGGTTGATAAACTGTGGCAGTATGTTAACTCTTAAGAATTACATACCACAAAACAATTCAGAATTTAAACTTCCTGTGATTTCAATTTTGTCAGGAGAATCCTAATGTTACAGTCATGATTAATAACAGACCCATAGGTCTAATACTCTGAAGTCATGTTATGTAACCAATAATCATTATACAAAGGAAGAAATCTATAGGAAATTTCTGTTTCTATTAGAAATTTCGGTAACACTTTGTGTAATGCATTATGAAGGTATTTATAATGTTGTAATGCGTTAAAATATATTTTTATAAGATTTCTTGTTACATCAGAAATAGTTTGTCATGTGTTTTAATGCATAATACTTCAATACTTTAGTATTATGGATTAAAACATGACATTTCACACACACACACACAATATTTGTATGAACATAAAAAGATTAAACAACTGAACAAATTACGGAACAAATAACAATAAATTTCACTGACATTTGATGAACAGAAATGGAATAATGAGTTTCTGAACAGAGCAAGGGTCAATATCAAAAGTAGCAGTCGTTATGTGGTGTCCACCAGCTGTTTTAAATACTACAGTGCAACTCATCTTAATGGACTTGGAAGGATTTGCCAGATCTTGCTGTGAGATGTTACTTCACTCTTTCATCAAGGCACTTGCAAGTTCTCAAACACATCTGGGGGTACATATGTTGATACATGGTCTGGCATTACAAGGAAAATCAGCTACCCTTCCCATCTTCCTGTAGCACTCCCTTAGGCCTCTTACATTACAGACATTGCAGTTTTTTTATTAATAATTAATATGAACAATATCCATAATTAATAAAAACATGAATTATATTAATAATAGTTTATGGTTCATCAAACAATCATGAAAAACATTGTTTAAACACTTTCTAATAAAGATTGTAAAGCTTATTTGGATTTTACAAAATTAACTTTAAAATACATTAACCTGATATATCCTAATATATATATATATATATATATACATAAAAATATATATATATTCCTTTATTATGCATTATACATAAAGGCTGTAAGTTGAGTGATACCTAAATTTCTATTCTTGTATATCATATTAAACACGTTTGCCCTGACAGGGTCTACTAAACACTTAAACTGTGTTATTATTTGGATATCTGTATTTGTTATTGGGGCTTTGAGAGTACAAATCATGATTGCTTTTTATTAATGATGGCTAAATGTGTACGGATTTGTCCTGTTTCACCTCGGAATCTGTGCTAATCTTTCTGATCTATATGAAGGGATTTCAGCAAATCTAAATAATGTTTTCCCCTCCCCCACCAAACACCCTGATTCAGAAACACATTTAACAGCCCACCTGATACAGATAGTTTGGTTATACAAATCATATTTTTTAGAATACGTATTTAGTTTGAAGAATGTGAAGTTTGGAGCCTCTTGTTTCTGAAATTGTGTGTGATCAGAACAGGACTGGGTTGTGTTGTTTTGAAAGCTCAAACCTGGACTTGTAGTTGTTGCTTGTGAAATAAGACCTGCCTTTGTCCTCCCACACACATCCTGCTGTTTCCTCATAATTATAGTAGAATGCCTTTTACCCTGCACTCCACATGATTTTGGGGTAAAAAGCTAAATAGCAGCTTTTAAAGCTAAGTTATGTTCCTGTAAAATCTTTCTGTACTTCAACTGGTAAAGCATGATTAGATGCATTGCAATGCCAGGGTGATGGATTCTCCCAAAGAACAAATATGCTGATAAAATGCATACCATGAATAAGCAGTTTTTTAGATAAAAAAATGCATGCCAAATAAATGCAAAAGTTTTGTTCCATATGTCTGACTGTGATGTTTAACCATCATTGTTTTGAGTGACCTATTATAGATCTGTTCATATTGAAATCTCAAACAGATCGTCTGATTTTACAATCTATTGTTGATTTCCTCACAGGAAAGAGCAACAGTTGGATTCTAAAGATGCCATCATCCTTCACCAGTTCTCCAGGCCAAAAAACGGGGTTCCAAGCCTGTCACCTTTCTGCCTGAAAATGGAGACCTATCTGCGCATGGTTGATCTGCCCTATCAAGTATGCATAAAGAAGCAGTTTGGATTTTGGAGTCCATTTCCTTTGATCAGTGGTTACGTGCTGTTGAAATGCCAATTAAATTTATGAAAGCCCTTAGAAAATAGGATTATGTTTTTTTCAGTTCACATCTAGATGCTCTAGATTTTTTAAATCAATAATAATAATACTTATTAACAACAATAATAATACATATTGTTATTATTATGATTATAAATTGCTAAAATACAATTTTATTTATGGTTTACATCTTTTCACCCTCAATATGCTTCCTTTTTTACAGAATTACTTTGATGGAAGCCTCTCTTCCCAGGGCAAGATGCCTTGGGTTGAGTATAATTACGAGCAGGTGTGCGGAAATGAATTTATAATTGACTTTCTGGAGGAGAAACTTGGTGTGAGCCTGAACAAGAGTCTGAGCGCTCAGGAGCAGGCGGTAGCGCGGGCCATCACCACCATGGTGGAGGAACACTTGTACTGGTGAGTCATGTGCTGGCATTCTGAATGAGTCACTCTCCTGCTGCTGAGCCATCGCTGAAATGTGAGGATCAAATATGCAGCTACTGGAGTCAGTAGAGTTCTGCAGTTTTTAAATTTGGTTTTGGAGTTTTTAAAACCTTAAGGGAATAGTTCACTCAAATGAAAATTTGCTCAAAATGTGCACACCCTCAGGCCTTCCAAGATGTAGAGGAGTTTGTTTCTTTATCATAACACATTTGTAGAAGCTGCAGTGAATGGGTGCCGTCAGGATAAGAGACCAAACAGCTGATTAAAGCATCACAATAATTCACACGACTTCACATGACTCCAGTCCATTGTGAAGCGAAAAGTTGTGTGTTTGTGCTAAACAAACTCATCATTAAGAGATTTTTTACTTCAAATCGTATTGCTTTCTAATATTGCTTTCTCCAGTGAAAAGTCGTCTCATCTGAATCAGGAGAGAAATATGCACAGATAAAGCACCGTTTATAAGTGAAAACAGTCCAGAAAAATATGTTGGTGGATTTTGATGCGAGGACAACAGGGGTTGGGACATTTTCACTGGAGGAAGTGTTATTATGGATTATGGACTCATATTTTGGACAAAAGTAATTATTTTAAGTTAAAATTCCTTAACAATGGATTTGTTTCTTACAAACATGTAGCTTTTCACTTCACAAGATGCTAATTGATGGACTGGAATCACGTGGATTACTTATGGATTATTGTGATGTTTTTATCAACTGTTTGTACTGAAGCCATCCATTCACAGAATTTTAACATTTCTGTGTGAACAGTTTC